ATACCTTTCTCAAGGCCGAAGTCTAGGTTACCACAGCCAGCTGGAGAGGCGTGTTCTCTACAACCCACGAAAGTGCTCCATAGGAGAATGTGATTTATGACCCACCCTGGGAGGAGGGGGGAAACAGGGTCATAGTTGGGGCGTAAATTATGTGGGGCAGAGCTGACACAACTTGAGTATGTGCCGACATGTTGCTCCTAATAAATAACTGAATTTCTTTTGAAACTTGGCTGGAGGCTCATTAACTAATTAGGGCATTCCTCGGAACCCTGACATAGACTTATCTCCTGGTTTGCTCATAATGTGTTGAGTTTCAATATGATAAATTGTATGAGATGAGAATTAGAGCTAAGGAAATTATTTTGGTCTTCAAACTATAAAAAAGGTGAGAGGTCTGGACTTCATTATTCTGTTTACCTATGGAGACGGCACTGGATAATGAGTAGGTCACTCACCCATTGTCATAAATGTAAAAAAACCCCACAACTTTTTAACCTTGTTTTATTCTGAATAAATATCTCACATCGAACAAATTAATCTGAAAATTATTCAGTTTGCCTTAGAACCAAAAGAAGAGGAAAACAAAGAGAAAGAAGTCAGTATTAATTAAGAAACTCGGTAATGAACATGTATAATTTTTTAAAAATAAATTGCAATGTAATGATTATGATCACACAGTCATGCAATTAAGCTAACAGGAAAGCATGTGCTGATAAACAGAATATTACTAAAGGGAAGACTGATTAACATCAACACTAATTCTGATTTTAATTGGTTTGCAAATTGATGGCAGAAAAGCAAAGATCAGCCACGCAGATGGATGATCAGTTTGTTTTTTTTAGTTTTAGTCTGAAGGATAATTGATCCTATTGTTTCAAGAGTTGGTAATTTCCTTTAGAAAATGTGTACCTATACAATTGCCCAACTTTGTACATTTCAGTATCATCTTTTCACCTTTACTCCAGTCATTGTGGTACCTGTTCTAAATTTGTATATTTTAGCATCCCGTTTATTTATTTTTAGTACCCACTTTTAATGAGTGGTCCAGTGGCCTAGAGGTGGAGCTCTTGCCTCACAATCAGGAGGCTGTGAGTTCGATCCTAGGGAGAGGCAGATTTTTCTCTCTCTGGGCACACGGAGAATATATCTGCTGAAACAAACACTGCATTGGCGACAGGAAGGGCATCCGGCCAGTAGCAATAGCAATAGTACTTGGATTTATATACCACTTCACAGTGCTTTACAGCCCTCTCTAAGCGGTTCACAGAGTCAGCATCTTGCCCCGAACGATCTGGGTCCTCATTTTACCCACCTCAGAAGGATGGAAGGCTGAGTCAGCCTGGTGAGATTCGATCTGCCAAACTGCTGGCAGCTGGTGATCAGCAGAAGTAGCCTGCAGTACTGCATTCTAACCACTGTGCCACTACGGCTCTTCTCAATAAACACTCAGCTCCATTCAGTTGCCCTGACTCCATCCCGATGCAAGGGATTATGGGGTCATTAAAAGACAAAAAAAAATTCAATGGACTTTTAATCACCTGGACCTCAGCCCTAAAAAAATGTGCATGAAAGCATATCAGAGGATACACTCTACTCCCGTGATGGCGAACCTATGGCATGCTTGCCAGAAGTGGCACGCAGCACCTTCTCTGTGGGCACGTGAGCCATCACCTCAGTTCAGCTCCACCGTGCATGCGTATGCACCTCCTGCTGGCCACCTGGTCTTCGGGTCTCTGCCACACATGTGCGAGGGTGGGGCGTGTACAGGGGGGCGTGCACACACGCGGGGGGCATGTATATGTGCGGGCTGTGCACATGCAGGGAGGTCATGTGTGCATGTGTGGGGGCATGCGGGGGGGCGCAGACGCATTGCATTTTGGGGATTTGGGCATGTGCACATGCATTCACACATACACACTCATGCTTTGGGCACTCGGTCCGGAAAAGCTCTACTCTACTCTACATCACTGCTCTACTCTGTCCAACAACAAGAGCCTTGATAGTACAGTGGTCTAAGCACCCTGTTATTAACACAGCTGCCTGCAATTTACTGCTGGTTCGAATCTCGCCAAGGCTCAAGGTTGACTCAGCCTTCCATCCTTTCTAAGGTAGGTGAAATGAGGACCCAGTTTGTGGGGGCAATAAGTTGACTTTGTATAAAAATATACAAAAGTATGAAGGCTATTGCTTAACACATTGTAAGCTGCCCTGAGTCTTTGGAGAAGGGCGGCATATAAATCAAATTAAAAAACAAAACAAAACACAGTTCTCAACCTCATTTTGGGATGTTTAATTGACATTTTCTTAATTAAACTCTCTCTCTTTCTGTGTGCATGCTAGAGTATTCTGGGCAGAATACTGAAATCTCCGATCAGTAATGAAAGGAAGTTCTTCTTGGACTTAAGAAAGTCAGCTTGTCCTTTTTCTTCACCTACATGGGTCATAAAAAGAGCTGAATAGCCATTTCTAAGCATCTCTCGAAAGCCATTGTCTTAACCAGAAGAGTTAATAATGAACATTTGTTATTAAATAGTCCCAAGGTCAGAGAAAGCCATCATTATGACCAGCAAATTTACTTCTTCTTGACCGAGAGTTTCTCATGCTAGAATCCTAATGAGTCCATCAAAGGCATCCTTCTGAGATGCTCTACCTAAATTAGTGTCCAAGTTAGTCCATCAGTGAGATATAATTGCCCATTCTGAAGCAGCACAAAACCTGCATCTCTAACTTTCCTGACTTTTTTTTTTTTTTAAGGATATCTTTTTGCTTCTGGTTTCGCCGGGGTCACTGGAGAAAATAATTGCTTTTGTTCAAGGAATATGAAATAATTTTTCCACAGATGCCCCTATAGCCTTAAAGAAATTTCTTCCACCATGCAGCTAAGGAGTTAATATTACTTTCCTGACCTCTCCACCTTTGCCCATAGTCGGTGCCAACATAGTTAAAGCGTACCGTACCAAACACACCTTGCTGAAAATAATATCTGTTGTAGAACTCTTTAAGAAGATAGTGTCGGTTGAAATGACTTGTATTACTTTATGGGCAATTTGTAACATATTTGGAAATCCGGATGGCTTAGAGGTCTCACAGTTATGCACCCAAAGTCAATGCAGAAGACTAAAAGCTGTATGGGCTTACTAGGCACAAGGGGAAATTCACTTTACAGCAAGAAGACAAAGCTTTCCACCAATGTATGAGAAACAATTGGTTTACAAAACCTTGGGGAAAGATTGGACCTTAATGAAAGAACACATTTCCTCCGCATGCAGGAAGTACAAAAATCAATCACCTCCAGATTCACAGAATGATTCTGATCTCAAATCCCGGAGAGACAGTATGAATCACAATGAGTTATTCAGACTAGAGCCAAATGTCAACCAAAGTTTGCAGTCAGCAAGCAAAACCTGCACATAACAGAGTCTACAAATAGCCAGATGTTAAAGCCAGAAGTTCTTACAAACAACCCAGGTATAACTAGATGCCAATTCAGAAATCAGGAAGACAAGCTAAAGAGAAATCTGAGATTCTGGAAGCGAAGCAAACAGGAGAATGATATATAGGCAAGAATAATGATGGTTGATTCTAGGAATTGAGTGAGATATGATATTTTGGCACTTATGATATATTTATCATTGGCACTTTTGGTACAATCATCTTTGGCTTTTAATATATATTTATCTTCTTCTGTTCTGCCTTTAGTGCAGCTTGTCGTAATTTGGATAGGTTCAGGAAATCTGTCGTCCTCCCCACATTTTACTTGGATTCAGAAGTTCTATCTCTGTCTATCAACACAGATATATGTTGGCTTTCATGGACTTGGAAGCATTCAAATTCAAATTCTTCCTCCCTTTGATCAGCTGGGCTGATCTGAATCACTCTCAGAATCATCTTAATTGGACAGTTATGCTTCTTCATTCAGTCAGAGCTGAAGAAGCTTCTTGGATGAGAAGCGAAACATCTTCAAAGAAAAACAAGAAAGTCCAGTTGCCTGGACTTGAAAAAAAAAAGCACCTTTGGGAAGATGTGTCCATAATGTCGCCAGATCTTCTAACCTTGCAGGACAACGACAAGAGAAAAGAAAACTTAAAAATCCTAGGAAGATATTGGTAAGGCAGTTCCCATAAAAAACTTAACTAGGCAACTGCATTTCAGTCACATAGATTTATAAACTCAGACAGTTTGGTTGCTGTATAATTCAGTGTGTTATGCAAATGAATACAATCAATTGAATGAAACAGTGAGCCACATGTCACATAAACACAGCAAATAGCTGGCAAACTCACAGCTGGTAGACAGAGTTAAGAAGAAAATAAGAATAGAAATATAATACATGTAAACAAATGTAATCTAAAAGATCCAAATTTGGAGTTATTGCAAAAATTCTTATATCTAAATTTTGCTTATTTATACAGGTACTTTTATTGTTATTCAGTCAACATAGAAGTGTGTGCATATACAGTGTGTGTGTGTGTGTGTGTGTGTGTGTGTGTGTATGCACACACAGAATTTCTCATTAGAGAATTTCTAGACCTTCAGAACTTTGTATTCTATCTTTACTTATGACTGAGATGTGCTTGAAATTGCCAGAGAAGGGAGGGAGGGAGGGAAGGAAGGAAGGAAGGAAGGAGGGAGGGAGGGAGGGAGGGAGGGAAGGAAGGAAGGAAGGGCGGGAGGGAGGGCAGGATGGGAGGGAAGGCAGGATGGGATGGAGGGAAAAAGGAAGGAAGGAAGGAAGAAAGAAAGGAAGGAAGAAGGAAGGAAGAAAGGAAGGGCAGGGAGGGACTGAGGGAGGAAGGAGGGAAGGAAGAACAGGGAAGGAGGGAGGGAGGAAGGAAGGAAGGGCAGGGAGGGATGGACAGATGAAGGTGGGAAGGAAGAACAGGAAGGGAGGGAGGGAGGAGGGAGGGAGGGAGGGAGGGAGGGAGGAAGGAAGGAAGGAAGGAAGGAAGGAAGGAAGGAAGGAAGGAAGGAAAAAATAGACACCAGAAGCACAAACTTACATGGTAGGATGCTCTTTCTTCTCTATCCATTGGACGGGTCACGTACATTCTCCCTGACACAGGGTCAATGTTGAAGACTTCCATAGGGGGCTGGTCAGCTCCCACCCCTGTGATGCTGTATCTTATATGGATTTCACTGTCTTTGTCTGAACGAATCTGAATGAAACATTAAAGAGAAAAATGAATCAGCGATGAAGGCAAGCCAAAGAGGGGAAAATTGCTTGCAGTGACAATTTTTTTAAATTTATCATTAAATTTATTTGCTATCCATCTCATGGATCATTCACATCCATGATCTAAAAGACTCTCTACATTGTCAAGACGAGGGAAAGGATTAACAGCGTCATCTCTCAATAATTCTATACCAATTTTGATAGAGCCTACTCCTGAAAAAAATGGACGCCCTTGGTTGGTTTTAGCATCTTCAATTCCAGGAGACATGTAACCTACAGTATGCTGGGTAATCAAATATTTCAGTTGCAGAGTGAAAGTTTCTTTCTAATGTTCTCTTCCTGTCCTGGGTTTACATAACAGAATAACGATGTCCAGTCTCTTCTCCAAAGCCTCCAGTGATGGAGCATCCACAACTTCTGAAGGCAACTACTGTTCCACTGGTTAATTGTTCTCACTGTCAAGAAATTTCTCCTTGTATCTCTCTTTGATTAGTTTCCATCCAGTGCTTCTTGTCTTGCCTTCTGGTCCTTTGGAAAATATATTCACCTGCCCACTTCTTTGTGTTTTGATAACTGCCATTTGCACACCTTCTTCAAGATCATCTCTGCAATCCCAGAAGTAACCTTTAGTCTCAACCTAGTATATATCTTGATATATTTGTCCTCAAATACCCAATCCCCATCTAATGTAATCCAAGATTATGGGGTTATTGCTATACCTCATAGCAATGATTTGCACAGGGTCGCTAAACGCACTCTATGTTCTGTTTTAAAATTCTTTTTTCTCCAGAAAGATTGCAATGCTTTTTCCATGGCAGACACCGATTGTACGATATATATCAGTTATAATATATAAAGAATTGGAGTTCATATGCTACATATTGAAGAAAGTTAGCACTCACCCCCCTCCTAGAAGAATGAAATATTTTAGGAAATATTAAAAAGGCAGACAATTATATTTCCCTGGATGAGAAAAGGAGAAACATGTTTTAAAAACAAAACAGCTCTCTGCAGCTCCCTGCCCCCCCTTCAGCTCCAGGGTGATGGGATTAAGACATGGCCCTCAGGACATGATAGGATTAGCCCTCTGCCCATCTAGCAACAGACCTCACCACATGGCACGTGGGGAGATTGCATCACCTAGCAAGGCTCAACCAAGCCTGGGATTTAAAAGACAACCTACAAAGTTACTCCTGCATGGCCCCATGGGAGTCTAACAACCAATCAGAATACAAGCTCAAATTCAAAGCGCAAGAGAGAGTATAAATCTCTCTCTCTCTCTCTCTCTCTCTCTCTCTCTCACCCATGTGCTTTTTTGCCCAGGACCTCAAACTATGTGGTCCTGTTTCATTATTAAATCAACTTTCCAAGCAGCTTCCATGTTTCCAGTGTCTTTCTCCCCACTTGGAACTGAACCCAGATGGACATTTCTTCCAACAATAGTTTAAGCTTTCCCCAAACTGTTATCCCCGACTTTGTAAAGACTGAAACAAATCTAGAATTCTTAGCCAAAATGGCCTCCAACTTGGAATTCTCATCAAAGGGAAGTGAAAGGGATTTATACCAATAATGCTGTCAGAATGCTATCCCCTCAATCAGAAATAACACCTAAACAAAATGGAGGCATGTTCAAAATAAAACTAATTTCCCCCTTCTTGGGGGGGAAGTTGTTAGCCCTGGAGGCCATCTTTTTCTTTGGATCTTTAGGGCTGCCCACTTAGTGCTGTGCCAATATGACATCTCTAATAAAATGGAACGTTGAGGAACTTCGAGACTTGGAGTCTTTTTTCATTGGGGGTGTTACAGTGGTGGGTTTCAAATTTTTTACTACCAGTTCTGTGGGCGTGGCTTGGTGGGCGTGGCATGGCTTGGTGAGGCAGGGGAAAGATACTGTAAAATCTCCATTCCCACCCCCACTCCAGGGGAAGGTTACTGCAAAATCCCCATTTCCTCCTGATCAGCTGGGACTTGGGAGCCAGAGAATAGATGGGGGCGGGGCCAGTCAGATTTTTTACTACCGGTTCTACTTAACTACTCAAACTTTTCGCTAGCGGTTCTCCAGAACTGGTCAGAACCTGCTGAAACCCACCTCAGGGGTGTTACTTGGAACCCTGACAATAGTTCCTAATTCCTAAAAAAACCAAGAGTTTTGACTTCATCTCTAGTTTCTTAAACCAGACAGTAATTTTCTCATCCGGTTGCATGTATTTTCTATAGAAAAGAAAACAATCCTACAAAACAAAATAAATCTGCCATTCCTGCTTCCAGCAAAAGTGAGGAAATAAATACGTGGGTTAAGATGTAACTGTGTCAACCTTGAGCTATTACCATTTGAGGCAGAGCTATTTTGGAAAGGGGATCCAGATGGAAAGATATAAGGCAGAAATAAGGCTGATATAAGGCTGCTGTTAGTCAGCTCGCCAACCGAAAGCTGTTTAGATGATTATTGTAGGGACAAGCAACTGAAGTCCAATATATCTGGAAAACCCTAAGCAATAGTTATAGCAATAGCACTTAGACTTATATACCACTTCATAGTGCTTTTACAGCCTTTCTAAGCGGTTTATTGAATCAGCCTATTGCCCTCAACAATCTGGGTCCTCATTTTACCCACCTCGGAAGGATGGAAGGCTGAGTCAACCTTGAGCCGGTGAGATTTGAACTGCCAAACTGCAGCTAGCAGTCAGCTGAAGTAGCCTGCAGTACTGCACTCTAACCGCTGCGCCACTTCGACTCTAAGCTGTGCTGACTTGGTAATTGTCACGAATGCTCAGAGTCGTATTTCTTATGTTGTAGAAAAAGTGCATTATAATCATTCATGATAGGAAGGCATGTCTATACAGATAGTCCCTGACTTACAACAGTTCGTTTAGCGACCGTTTGAAGTTACAACAGCACTGAAGTGATTTATGAGCATTTTTCACACTTACAACCATAGCAGTATGCCTGTGGTCATGTGATCAAAATTCAGCTGCTTAGTAACTCACTCATATTTATGATGGTTGCAGTGTCCCGGGGTCATGTGATCCCTTTTGCGACCTTTTGACATGCAAAGTCAATGGGGAAGCCAGATTCACTTAACAACCGTTTCACTAACGTAACAACTGCAGTGATTCACTTAAGCAGTGATGGGATTCAGCCGGTTTTCACCACTTCGGGATTAATTTTCTGAGCAGTTTGGCAAACTGGTTGTTGGAAGAAATCATTAGGGCAGAGAACCGGTTGTTAAATTACTTGAATCCCACCACTGCACTTAAGTACTGTGGCGAAAAAGGTCTAACATGGGGCAAAATTCACTTCACAAAGATCTGACTTAGCAACATAAATTTTAGGTTCAATTGTGGTCCTAAAACGAAGACCATCTGCATTGTATTATAAAAGTCAATTGCAGATATCTCGATGCTCTTTAACATTAGAGGAACGTAATTGCATGCACCAAAATTTTGAACTGAATGGAAAACAGAAAATGCAAACCCATTCAAACCTTTTAAATTAGAACATTCAATAATGTATTTACAGATGGTAAGTGTGGAATATAGCGGAAATATTTTAATGAAGCTGCACCTTGTTACTCATTGAGGTGAACATTAAGTAACGTTAAACATAACGCTTTTTGTGTGTGTACGTGTGCGTGCATGTGTTTGAGGGCCTCAAGTGTGTTAAGTAACAGATAATGGAAATATTTTTAAATATACTTATGCCATCGCTTCTGCAAATGAGTTAAATGAGAGATTTCTGAGATTAAATTCTCAAGTAGCCCTCTTGAAAGTGCACTCAAAATACATATTTCCATTTCAGCATGCATGCTCCAAGCTCTTAAGGCTGAGAATAATTAGTTAATTCAAATGTGGACAAGTAACTTGCATAATAATCAGCGAGGCTCAGCAATTCCTTCTTGACCAAAATGAATGCATGGATGAGCACCAACAGGCAAGAGGGCAAATTGGTGTGTGAATGCTGGTTGGGGAGAAATCAAGTGAAAATGCAACTGGATTTATAGTAGGAGTTGGCTCGATGCTGAGACTCAAGGAAGTGTGCAGAGAAGAGCAACAGAGATGGTAAAGGTCTGGAGGCTAAATCGTATAATGAATGGTTGAGGGAGCTAGCCTACTGAAGAGAAGGATTGGGGGGACATGCTAACTATCTTCCAGTACTGAAGATTGTAGGTCAAAAGATTGTAGGTCAAAATTGTTGGTCAAAATTTAGACTTGTAGATCATTTAGTCCAACCCCTGCCAAAGCAGGAGACCCTATGCCATCTCTGACAGATGGCTGTCCAGTCTCTTCTTGAAAACTTCCGGTGATGAAGCTTCCAGAACTTATGAAGGCAAGCTGTTCCATGGGTTGATTGTTCTCGCTGTCAAAACATTTCTCCTTATTTCTAGGTTGAATCTCTCCTTGTTCAGTTTCCATCCATTATTCCTTGTCTGGCCTTCAGGTGTTTTGGAAAATAGCTTGACCCCTTCCTCTCTGTGGCAGCCCCTCAAGTATTGGAACACTGCTATGATGTCTCCCCTCGTCCTTCTTTTCACTAGACGAGTCATGCCCAGTTCCTGCAACTGTTCATCATATGTTTTTGCCTCCAGAGGCAGAGAGAGAAGAGGTCGGTCGAGTTATTTTTCAAAGCACCAGAAGGCAGAACAAGAAGTGATGGGAGGAAGCTTGTTAAAGAAATATTTAAACTAGAATTAAGGATTTTTTTTTTTTTGGAAAGTGAGAACAATTCATCCGTGGAATAGCTTTCCTCCTGGAGTTGTGGGTGCTCTGTCACTGGAGTCTCAAGGTGCCTTTTTCTTCAAAAGGCAACTGGATTTGAGGAAGAAGAAAAAAAAACATTTTGCTCCTCATCCATGAAGCTTCATCAGTTCCATCCCCCTGCCATAAGGATTTATGAGAAGCGGAAGTTTCTTCTTCTTCTTCTTCTTCTTCTTCTTCTTCTTCTTCTTCTTCTTCTTCTTCCTTTCCCTCTCCTTCTTCTTTTCCT